GGACCTGTTGGATCCAGTCTTGGTGGCCTGTAATACATTGAGGCGGCTGGGTTTACCAGTGGGCGAATGGGCTTTTTTGTTGCTCCGCATCGTGCTGTCCCGTCTACCTCTCGACCTGCGAATCCATTTTGAGGAGAGGTACGGCGGGGACGAGGCCTCCTATATTCCGCCCTTCTATGACCTGCTGCGGTTTTTAGAGGAGCAGTGCCGGCAGATCGAGAACGCAGCGGGCACCGTTGACGACTTACGAGACGTGCCCAGTGAGAGGCTGAACCCGCCAGGCAAGTCGTCGTCAACCCCCCCCCTGCTCCTATTGTCGAGCATCTGATCACCGGGTAACGTTGTGCCCGAAATTATTAGGTAAGCCGGTTCCAGCGAGGCGAACTATCGCCAAGGAGCGCCGCTGGTGCTGGTCATGTCTGGGAGGGCACCTCCAGCGAGACTGTCCGCATCGACGGCCCTGTCTGCATTGCCAGGGCAATCACCATGCCGTTTTGTGCCTGGGTGCGAACGGCATCTCCTCTCGGGGCTCTGCCAGGCCCTCGACCCCCACGGGCGGGGGCGCTCAGCCACGCCCTCTGCAGGGTGACTCTCGGCGCCCGCCGGCCAGCCACCAGGCCCCTAAGTTTGAAAGGAGTCCCTCCCCCGACCAGTCGGGGGGTAATTCCCCCAGGGGCGGGGGTGTCATCACCCCCCCTCAGCGTGTGGAGAGGAACTTCACGGCCACTCATCGGTCCGCTGGACCCTTCTCACTTCCGTTAGCTGAGTGGCCGCGACTGGTGTACCACTGTTCCCCATTTGATGGAGGCGGCCCTGTCTAGCTGCTGCCTTAGTTCCCACCACGGCCGCCTCCACTGAGCCTTAAGCCGTCAACAGTCCACTTGTCAAAATGTTCTGTTGCCGACGGCCTCAGTGAAGGCGTACAACCCGAGTGGCAACTGTTAAAGGTTGTGCTCTATTTATCTCGGGTTCACGCCATGTGGCCTCCCCTTGGTGGTGGGAAGATTAGGGCCCCCCTGGAGCGTTGAATCACGTTGCCAAGGGGTATTAGATTTGGTTTGGCCGAGCACTTAGTCAAAAAATACTTGAATTAAAATTAAAAATTGCTTTGGGCTTTCCGCGAAATTTTCCTATTTGTAGCGGTTTAAATTAAAAGAATTGAATTTAATCTACTCCTTTAAATGCTACTGCATGTGTTTTGTACATATATTTAATCACTGTATTTGATTGTTGCGTCTGTTTGCTGAAAGGAAAATTTGAATTCATCTGAAATTGAATGGCGCACTATTTGAAAAATTATGTTTATGTTTATGATAGTGTTTAATCATTTTTCTTTGCGAAGAAGTAGGGCTGTCCCTTACGTTATTGTTTTGTTTAATTTGCAAGTTGACCTATGCGCATCGGTGATTAATTTGGTTGAATTAATTCTGTAGTTGAACATTGATGCTTTTGAAAAATTAGTTGAAATATGAGCATAGGACTACTTGCCTAACAGGCTAGCTAGTTTTGGAGATTATCAGATTGAAATCAGCTGCCGCACTATTTTAGTAAATGATAATATGGTGGGTGGCCTGGCTAGGCCTACTTGTTGAAAATTCATACTAGGGACTATCTGTGCGTTTCGTTCGGCTCTCCACAGACGACGTTCATGTGGAATTGGTGGGTGCTCTTTGCACTGAAGCTTAGGAGGCCGCTCGGGGCCGCTTCTTGTCGCGTCGCTGTTTGCAGACCTGATCCGGTCGGATTGTGGAACTAATCATAGGGGCACAGATAGGTGTTTGAAAGAGGTCGTCGGACTTCTGTCCAGTACAGGACTTGATAAAGTGCTGCGATGCCCAGGAGGGGCATCCAGTGGAGGCTGACCCTCCGGCTTGCCACGTTAGGGCTATCTTTTGAGGCGCTGGTTAGGGTTGCAAGACCTGATGGGTTGCCTAAGGTGGCCTAGTTTGGTTGTAGATTCGGTCTTGCAACTTGCAGTCTCGACCTTGTCCCGCTGACCGGTTTGCTCGCGTACCTAAATCCTTATGTTCGGGACGGGGGTTTGTTCGCGCAAAACGTTGATGTCGGAGTCGACACCAGATGTCACTCGGCTCGGCGCGATTCCGGTTTGAACTTCGGCTGGGGCGTGGCACGAGCGCGCGAGTCGCGAGCGAAAAGGCAGTCGTCCTTAAGCGGTGCTAACGATTGGCACGCTGTATTCTGTTAGGGAACTCGGAATAATTCGGCGCGGCCAGTAAATATACGGTCTATCATTGTGACGCGCATTCCTGCTGGAGAGCTTCCCAGGGACTCATTGTGTTTGACTCAGAATCTGCATAAGTGCATTCGACAATATTAGCTAGTGCGGCCTTTGTATTCTATAACTAACTGTTGAGAAGCGAAACGGTAGTGACCTTTAATAAACTGTAAACTCCGTGTGCGTTTTGTGTGTTAACCTTATAACCCGCGATAGTTAGTGGCTTCTGTAAGTTAGTAAATCGTACGATAGAGTTAATTGACTGTCAACGTGACGAAAGAAGAAAGTGACTGTGGACAACCTCGAAAGGCCCCCTCAAGTTGGAGCGGTGTCGACGCTCGGGCTGCTGCCGACGGCCAAGGTCTAGGTTCAATCACCATCAGTCACACCCAGATACACATCACATCACTTATTTCCCTTTCACTACACAACCACATGTGACCTGACCGACTCCGGAGGGACCAGTCGCCTTGGATATAGGTAAGTGAACTCCGCCTAATTCCTCTGCCGGTCGACTGGCCGTAGTATAGAACGCTCCCCCATATATTTTATCACATTGTCACATTGAGGCCCGACCTACGTCTGTTCGGGAGGTCTTCAGCTCATGGGCCCCTGAGGACTGGATCCTTTAAGGGAGCAGCCGTAGGCCGTAACAGTAATAATTTGAAGACAATTTTGATACGTAATATCCGGATATCAAGTTATGCTTGTATGCTAGTCATCTATCATCTATTTTCGAGATATTAGTGCTGTAGCCTATGCGGCTCTTACAGGCTTACCTTGACAAAGGGCCTTTCAGGCCGCGATCTATTATACTCTGGCTTCATATTATACAGAACTAGCTTTATTTCTGGGCTAGTAAGGTAGTGTCTAGTCAGGATAGTTTAATAGGATGGGGTTCAATTTTTTTTACTATTCTAAGCCAGCGTTTAACTACAATCGCACCTGATGGTAAGCGGTGCTGTAGTCTAAGATGGTGAAGCGCACTGCCCTCATTGTAATCCGATGGAAAGACAGATGATGGCAACTCCTTTGCTGTACGAATGACGACCGATGTAGCAAACCGTTTGATTCGAATGAGTGGTAAGTCAACAACGAAAGGGTGGTCACTGGCCGAACGTCTGGATGTTTGGTATAGAACGGTGGAAGGGAGAGCGAGGAATTAAGTCATGTAATTCCTGCGCACACTCTCCGAAATGCATCCTGCAGAAAACCGTATGGCTGACTACTTTGCGCCTGTGTTCGAGGCTGGTAAGATTGGTTTTAACCAGATAAGGGTCACCATTAAGTCTCTTAGCACCCGTTTTCATTGAGTCCAAAGCTGATAGGTGACATTATGCAGGACCAGCCCATATGTGGCAGCAATCCATGCACGGCCGGACTTGCGCTTTATATAGAGTAGTAAGCAGCTGTCTCGGCAGCACTTTTGCAATGACTTCTAGTTTCTTTGCAGCTTTGGCTTTGGCCTTAGACTCTACGAACCGCCCGAAGTTTAGGTTTGATAATATCTCAACCCCCAACAACTGAAGGCGGTCGATGTATTCCAGTGACACATTTCGGGAAGAAGGAGCCAAGGTGAGCTGGGACCTTTTTGCAGTGAAGAGACACGCTTGTGTTTTGGAGATGTTGAATTTCACAAGATTGGCATCGCCCCATTCGGAGACTGCATGTAGTGTATAGAGATTCACACGCTCAACCATAGCTTCTCTTTCGGTCTGGATTTGATCCCGACTAGCCCGAGTACTTGGTTCGTATTTCTCCACAACTGTGTTGTCGTCTACATACCCATAAATACCGGTCATAAACAGATCATTAATAATACAGCAGGAGGAGAGTTGCGGAAAGAACGGACCCCTGGGGAACACCGGCGTTAGTCGCCACGGGATCGGATGAGCAGCCATCGAAGATGAGCCGGAGAGATCGTCCATTTTTGAGCTTAGTTGCCCCGCCCACCACTTATTTTACTATTCTGGATTGTCCACTAGCTCCGTGTGGCTCATAAAGCTAGTACCTTTTTTAGATATATTAATATTAATATATTGAAGAATACTAGTTGTTAACTTGTTTAAATTAGTACGATTTTTCTATTGTAGATGGCGTTGAGCGATATATGAATTGCGGTATAAAGATGTTATTTCATTTACGATAAGTGTGAACTGTAATTTTTTGATGTTGGCCCGGTTAGGCATAAGTCCCCCATAGCCACGATGGATAGCCTATCGTGGTATGCGTAATGCATTTTCTGCCTCCCTACGTAAAGGGTAGCCCATTTCCAATTGCTTCGGGCGCAAAAAATGACATTTTATTTATATTCCACCAATTTTGATATTATTGGAATATTTTCTTTCGTATACTAGCCCTTATGATAAGTTATAGTAATGTTACTTGTAAGTTATAACGTTCAAATAACGTTCTTTCTGCGGGTCTGACTTGAACTCATACGTGTGTTCCGGGCGAAAGTCGCAACGAACTGATTGAAATTGCTTCAATTGCGCTACACACGAGACAGCGGCAAGGCCGATCTAGGGAACAAGGAAGGTCTTGCGCTCCTGCCGCCCTGCCGCAGGGCCGACTTAAAAAATCCCTGTTTGCCTACACACATCACAATTAAGGAGGCAATTAAGTGTCATCCCCACTCCTACACCCTAGATTGCCCCTGCGGCAGGCACGTCTCGTCAGTAGCCGCCTTTAAACAGTGGACTTTTATAGGCTGTAATGGATGGATGGATGGAGTAGGAAAAATAAATAAAGTTACATTTTTGTTAGCAATTAAAAAATAGTTTAATTTAATAGAGTAATATTTTTATAAAAACAACATGACATGACATTTATAATCAAAATCTTGCATTTGTGTAACAACAAAAGTAAGAAATTCAAAAGCCTAAGCATAACGAAAAACGTATTTATGTAGATTAATTATTATTAAATTCTTCAGTAAAAACTGAACTAGTTGATTTGGTATATTTTGCATGTTTCGTTCAGGGAAACTGGCTTAAAACTAAAAGCTTTATGTAACTCAAAATAACATATAATTAGAAACATTTGCAGTCGCCACCCAAGCACATGCCGCTGTGGTTGTTCATTTCCTGACACATGCGATTACAAATTGAATTGTTACAGGTATTAATCGTCAGGAAGTCACCAAGTTCATCTGAAAAAAGAATTAAATACATAATTACATAGACCTCCACGACTGTCATTTGAAGGGTAGGTAGAGAGTAGTCTCTGATAGTACTTTAAAAGTCCATAGGGAATTTCCTTAAAGCACGATTATGACAAAAACAAATACGTATTACTTTTATCGCACTTACGTATATGGCAGTGGGCATATAATAAGTACTTGAGCAGGCGCTGATTAGATATTGTATTATTTATTATATGTTATACAGATTAGATGTAACTATTAGCTGTAGCATGATACGACTTCAACACGATTGCATTAACTAAACCGGGGGAAAACCACGCTCGCAAAGAATACCTGAGTCAAAGAGTGCCTTTATATATACTGAAAACCTGAATGAAATAACTGGCGTGATTGTTATGGTAAGTGAAAAGAACGAAGACTCATTTTAGTGGTGACAAGGCATTTCATCTGAATCCTCAACCGTGACAGCGCAACTACATTTTGAATGAGAATAGATGTAAGTGTCTATGGACCAAAAGAAGTGTTAAAAATGGTTACCATCTGATGAACTATGTACTTCGCTTGTTCAACCCTAATTGAAAAGATAGTTAAGCTACGAATCACATTCTTCTTATTTAATTGTTTACTATTATAACAAAAAAAATATATAATAAAAGTTTTAAATAAGCAATTTAAAATATGCAATGCAATGAAATTCACCTCTGAACTTTTGCAAGATGTCACATTTGCATTTTCCTTTAACGCAGGCGCCACCCGGAAAACCACTACGGCGACATTGTTGCTCACATCCAAGAGGGTTGCAACTTCTTAGAAAATTTTGAGTCCATTGCGTTACAGTATCTAAAATAAACAGATTTTCATGCTTTTAATGTATTAGTTAAAGACCTGGCATTTCAGTTGACGGTATTTTGTCTTAAAAAGTGCATACAATTAGAGGTAGTTGATCCGCCGATTAGTTCCAATTATATAATGCCCATTAATTAGTTTCATGAGGGAACATATTTAAGAGATTAAAAATATTTGGAAAAACTGTGATATACTCATATCCACTTTTAAAATACGGCTACTATACATACATACTCTTTTCGGTTCTGTAATTCTTTTAGAAATCAAAAATTATCGTATTTCAATAAATCTCTATATTTTTAATCTGAGTGTGTAAATTACAGAGAAGTAAAATGTGATCAGATAAACAAACATAAGATTCTGTCAAGTATGATTATAAAGTTTATAATATTCAGTTAAGGCTATTATTATTTATGTCCCAATTTCCACATAGCAACAAAACTTATCTAGCTATAGCATACCAATATATAATAAATTGTATAATTTAAATATTTTTTATCTTGTTCAAAATTCTGTTGTTATAGATTGAATGAATTTATTTTTATCAAACGACTTCAAAAAAGGAGGCGGTCTTCAGTACGTCGTAGTCTTTTTTTATGTATGTATGTTTACCGATTACTCAAAGACGCCTCAACCGATTTGGAAAATTCTTTTTTGTTTCAAAGGGTATACTTCTCAGGTGGGCCCATTAAAATTTTATCGAAATCGATCGAGGGGCTTTTAAAAAATTAACAATAAATTATATTCATATTGAAATTGTTTGTACAAAATATTGTTGTACCACTTGTTTACTTACTTGATTCCTTTTTCAACATGTAACAATTGCATTCATTATTAAGGCAGGCACCGCCGGGATAACCAAAACGTTGACATTTTTGATCACATTCGTTTGCGTTGCATGTTTTAAAAGAATTAATTGCGCCATCCATACCCGATTCTTAAATAAAAAATACCTAATTAAGTTACAAATAAGAAAAAAAATTATATTTCCCAAATCTCACTTAGTGTAGTACTCGTAGTGTCCAATCATTCCGATTCGATTTTCTTGTAAGCCTACGAGAAAATTTGTTACAATTGTCTATCTAGCTATAACTACGCACCGAGGTGGGATATTTATATAATAATACTAAAATCTAGTTTTCAGATGGGTTATGCAGATCCATTCCCATATCAGCCAATCTCCTAAGAAATTTTCAACATAGAGGACATTGCCTTAGTGTAAACGAGTGTTACGATAGTAATAGAGATAGCAGTAATTAACTTGCAACTGTACAATTCTAAAACAAAATTAACTTGTGAAAAATATAAAAACCTGAGTAAAATTTAAATACCGTTACCTCTAAGACTTAACATTATATCACATTTGCATTTGCCGTTAACACAAGCCCCACCAAGGAAACCAATGCGGCGACATGACTGGTCACAGTCCAAAGGACTGCAACTACTGTACTCCTGTGTTAAGCTTTCTTGATTAAAATCTAAAACAAATACAATTAAATTTAATAATAAGTCTTCGCTTTTCCTCGATCTTTTTTTTTTCCAATTTCTCAAAGTTTTTAGTTGTATAGTTTTTCATTGTTACATAATTGACCCGAGTCTCAAACACCGTAATATATCAAATAAACTAACAAAAACCAGAAAATAAAATCTAATCTGTTAATAAATCGTTATAATCAAGTTTGTAACGTATTTTTTTAGTATAACTATCCACAAATATTAAAATGTGTATAGTTATTTTATTTGTTTTTACTAAAAATTATTTAATTAAAAGAAAACAGTTAATGTATAATAAATTTTTATGGTACTTATATATGCAGCTTGATTCGATGTTATACTACAATGTAAGTTTATACAAGAAAAATTTTCCATGACAAAAATAATTTTTCCCAAAAAATTAATCTATTCTATGACAAAAACAAAAATTGTCGATCCTCAACGGAACGGATATTTTGAAATAGCATCTACGAAATTTTTTATACCAATCTACGTATTTGCAGAGATTTGATTAAAGGTTCTCGGAACCGGTATTTAGAACCGGTACATCGGAACCCAAACCGGAACCGATACCGGAACCGGAACCGTACCGAAAAGAGGAACCTTTATAAGAACCAAAATGAAGAACCAGAACCGAAATTGGTACCGGTATTCAATCCCTGATGGGAAACAGCAATCACTTACCATCAGGTGGACCGTGTGCTCTTTTGTCACCCTATCCTATAAAAAAAAATAGGTGAGGTAGGTGATCCGCCGATTAGTTCCAATTGTTTAAGTCGATTTACTAGTTTCATGAGGGAAAATATTTGAGAAATTAAAAATATTTGGAGAAACAGTGAAGTACTCATATCCGCTTTTATGAAACATCTTTACTAATAAAGGTTTTAACAGTGGTAGAGCCACGCGGCAGCCTTTGCTGTTGCACGTATAGGCCGGCTCGAACCGGAGTGGTTGGGTGGCGGACCTCACAGAAGACCGGCGTGAAGTGGAAGCTCTGCTTCTGCATTTCGTCTGGTGAGTGCAGGTGGCTGGAGGCCCAAACCTCACTCCCTTAACATGGTAGCGGAGTTAAATAATACACTACCCCAGGAGGGTACCAGCACACCCGGTGGCGGGGGATGCCTCGATGAGCATCCACGCCCAAGCTATCCTACTCTTCTTGAGCGTGGGTGCCAGGGAGGGGGGGGGGGGGGAATTCCGCTAGAGACTAAACCTGCTCGGGGCAAACGGAGCAATAAGTCAAAGGCACCACCTGCCACGCTATCCGTGAATTTCTGCAAGTTCAGGTGACTTCATTCAAACCTTAAAGCCGTCCACTACCATCTGGAAACGGTGAAGCCGGTCGTGTCTCTCCTACCAGGGGTAAAAATTAGAACACGCCTTTGTGCCCCGGGCTGGAGTTTGCGTCAGAGAGGACATCTGTTTTCGACACCTCGGCAGCATTGAAAGTACGGACCTGTCCGTCTTATGGCTGCGCGTAGACAGCGACGACTATCCCCGCGTCTACAGGTGCCTCTATAGGTTCCATAGCCGCAATGCCGACACAGATCGACTCATTGACCACATTCAAATGGCTACAGACTCTGTGCTACAACTGGTCCCGTCCGCAGAGATCGTGATGCTTGGTGGTTTTAACGCCCACCACGCTGAATGGCTTGGTTTTCGTTTAACCGATCATGCGGGTAGATCTGTTTATGAGTTTGCTTTGGCATATGGTCTGACAGAATTGGTTACCTCGCCTACGCGGATCCCAGATGTGGAAGATCATGTGTACCTTCCCTATTGAACCATCTGCTGACCTCTCATCCGGACGGATATCAGGTTTCCGTCGATGCCCCTCTTGGCTCCTCGTACCATTGTCTAATCCGGAGTACGGTGCCACTGACGCTTCCATCGCGGTTGCGTTCTACAGGTTGCCGCCGTGTTTGGCATTATAGGTCAGCCGAATGGGACGGGATGCGATCTTCATTTGCATCCTACCCTTAGAGGCGGGTTTGCTTCTCGCTCGATGATCCCAGTTGCTGATTCTGTCGCTGATGTGGTGCTACAGGGAATGGAACTTTTTATTCCATCATCTGTGGTACATATCGGAGGCAGAACTCAGCCATGGTTTGGTTGCTCCTGCAAAATTCTCCTGCATAAGCAAGAATGCTACCAGGCCTGGGCTCACGCATCAACGTGTCGAGATGCAAATACTACTGCTCTTAAAAAGAAGTATAATTCCGCCTCCAGGTCCTTCAAAAGTGTCATTGTCAAGGCAAAGTCAGAGCACATCGGCAGAATTGACGAGAAACTAGTTCGTCTTCCTTCGGGAATACGTGCATTCTGGTCTCTCGCCAAGGCTGTCCAATGTAACTTCTGTCAGCCATCTCTCCCATCTCTTTACAGAGAAGACGACTCACTGGCCCATGCCGCAAAGGACAAATCCGAGCTGCTGGGCTCTATCTTTGCGTCCAACTCGACTCTTGATGACGGGGGAACACACCGCCTACTGTGCTGTTTATCCAACGCTCGGTGCGCAGAGCACTCCTTTCCCTGAACGTCAACAAGTCGAGTGGGCGTGATGGCGTCCCTCCTATTGTGCTGAAGACGTGTGCTCCAAAGTTGGCACCGGTTTTAACGCGTCTTCTTCGGTACTCCTAGGCGTAGTCTCGAAATTATGCAAGACAGCTTTCGTGCACCCGATCCCTAAAAAAGGTAACCGCTCTGATCCGTCCAACTATAGACCTATCGCCATCATTGTTCTCCAAAATAATGGAGTTCATTATTAACAGCCAGCTCATGCGGTACCTTGAGGATCACCAGTTGATTAGTGACCGTCAGTTCGGTTTCCGTCGCGGTCACTCGGCTGGTGACCTTCTGGATTACCTAACTCATTAATGGACGGTGGCAGTAGAGTCTAAGGGAGAGGCATTGGCCGCTAGTTTGGACACAACGAAGGCCTTTGACTGGGTTTGGCACAAAGCGCTTCTTACGAAGCTTCCTTTCTATGGGCTTCCCGAGAAATTGTGCAACTGGATCACCAGTTTTCTTGCAAATCGGAGTATCAAAGTCGTAGTAGACAGTGCATGCTTCGATTAGAAGCTCATTAGATCGGGTGTTCCACAAGGCTGCGTGCTATTGCCCACGCTGTTTCTTCTGCATATCTATGACATGTTGCAAACCGGTAACATTCATTGCTATACAGATGACAGCACTGGTGATGTTTTATACACATCATCATCATCACCATCATCACAGCCCTTCACAAGTCCACTGCTAAACATAGGCCTCCCCCAAAGAATGCCACAAAGCATGGTCCTGAGTCACCTGCATCCATCGACTTCCTGCATGTCTTACCAGGTCGTCACTCCATCTCGTGGGGAGACGCCCTACACTTCGCCTACCGGTACGAGGCTGCCACTCGAGAACCTTTCTTCCCCATCGGTTGTCGCTTCTTCGAGCTATATGGCCGGCCCACTGCCACTTCAGCTTACTAATCCGTTGGGCTATGTCGGTTACTCTGGTTCTACTGCGGATATCCTCATTCCGAAGTTTATCACGCAGAGAAACTCCGAGCATAGCCCTCTCCATAGCTCGCTGAGCGACCTTGAGCTTCCTCATACGGCCAGCATTGAAGGACCACGTCTCAGTTCCGTAAGTCATCACTGGCAACACGCACTGGTTGTACTATTTCGTTTTACGGTTTTGAGGTATGTCTGACGAGAAGATGTGTCGTAGCTTCCCGAACGCTGCCCAGCCGAGTTGAATCCGTCGATTGACCTCTCGGTCGAAGTTGGACTTACCTAGTCGAACTATTTGTCCCAGGTAAACATACTCGTCAACAACTTCGAGCTTAGTGTTCCCAACAACAACCGGCATAGGTGTGACATGGACATTAAACATGATCTTTGTTTTGTCCATGTTCATCTTAAAACCTATCCGTTGGGAAACACTATTTAGGTCATTGAGCATAGTGCTTAGGTCCTCCAGCGATTCTGCCATAAGGACTATATCGTCGGCAAATCGAAGGTGATGAGTGATGTGCTCGCCATTGATGTTGATACCGTATCCTTTCCAGTCCAGAAGCTTGAAAACGTCTTCCAATGCAGCGGTGAAGAGTTTCGGGGATATGACGTCACCCTGTCTTACACCTCTCTGCAATTGGATAGGTTTCGTACTCTGGTTCTGTACTCGGATAGCCATCGTAGCCCTACTGTACAAGCACTTCAACACTTCGATATACCGACAGTCAACTTGGCACCGCTGAAGGGACTGCAGCACCGCCCAAATTTCGACGGAATCAAAGGCTTTCTCATAGTCCACATACGCCAGACATAGTGGCAAATTGTACTCTTCGGACTTCTGTACAATTTGTCGAAGGGTATGTATGTGGTCTGTGGTGCTAAAGCCCTTTCGGAAACCGGCTTGTTCGGGAGGCTGGAAGTCGTCAAGTCTGCGCGCGAGACGATTCGTAATGACTCTCGAAAACAGCACGTAGACGCGGTTCAGAAGGGAAATCTGTCTGTAGTTCTTCAAGAGAGCGTTGTCACCTTTCTTGAAGAACAAGACCACCGCACTTCTGCTCCACGCCTCCGGTATAATGCCACCATGGAGGACGGAATTAAAGAGCTTCTGAAGGACTTCAAGTACCGGTTTTCCACCCGCTTTCAGAAGCTCCGCTGTAAATTCCATCCTCACCTGGGGCTTTACCGTTTTCAAGGTGCTGGAGAGCCATTCTAATCTCGCTCAGACTGACGTCCGGGACATCTTCGGAATAGTGTCGGATGAGACTTGCTCTTGGATCGTTACTCACACTTGCGTGTGGCTCCAACGATGACGTGTACAGCTGCCCATAGAACCTCTCAATCTCACTCAAAATCTCAGGTGTCTCGGAAACGATACTGCCACATTCTGTCTTCAGCTTTGACAGTTGGCTCTTTCTGGCAGACAAATCTCTGGCAAAGACTTTGGAGGCTTGGTTCCGCTCGATCGCTTCTTCAATACGAGCTGTATTGAAGTTGCGTAAGTCCCGCCGCATGCATATGGAGATCTGTCTGTTCCGATGCCTGTATGCTGTCAAGTCTGTTGAAGAATGTAGCTTCATCTCCCGTCTAACAGCCATGAGATTAAGAGTGTGATCGGAGAGTTTTTGTGTTCTTCTGCGGCGGGTCTTGCAGAACTTAGCTCCGACCGCATGGACAGTTTCCACGAGCTTGTCATTCATATCGTCCACTTCATTGCAGTCTTCTAGGCACTGAAAACGGTTTTGTAACTTGAGCTGAAAGGTTTCGGGACTTTGGAACAGAGCACGAGGGGGACGGAGCGTTGACTTTATTAGACGAGACCTCTCCAACTTAATCCCGGTGATAGAGCAAGTTGCCGGATTCGAGGATTACTGTGTCCTCCCCCTTTCTTCGGACTTCGGATAATCCTATAATATGCTAGCGCAACTTGTCTATCTCTTCTTCCAGCTCCACGATCTTCTCGTCAGTCCTCAGGGTGCGTGCGTTGTACGTTGCCAGGTCGAGTCGTCTAAGGTGGCAACCGAACCTCCACCGGAGATTCTTAGCACCCCCTGCCCCGCCGTTACCATGGTCGCCACCGTAGTCAGGATTAGCGGGGCCGCCGGGGACTGGGGGCCGTCTGTTTGTTGCTTTAATCATTGGGGGGTATTTGCCATAGTTGCCACGCTTGGCGAGCGGGTTGGCAACCGCAGTTTTTTTATTGTAATTTTGGCTATTATCAGGAAGATGCTGCAGCCCATCTTCTGCCTGTTTCCCTTTGTCGCCTTTTACGACACCCACGGGAGGATATGGGGTAGTGGATATTCTTACACCGCCACTACACGGCAAATTTTTTACACCGGCCGTGGCAATATCTCTCGAGGAAACGTCGCCGAGTACCGGGACAAACTCGTGTCTAAAGTCGAGACTTAGTTGAACAAAGTATCGGACCTGGTGGCGACTAAATCTAGTCCAGTTCAATCCCAAGAAGACTCAAGTTTGCGCGTTTACCGCTAAAAAGAACCCCTTCGTCGTATCTCCTCAGTTTCAAGGCACTGCCCTTGTTGCCATAACCAGTATTGGAATCCTCGGCGTCGACATATCGAGTGACGTGCAGTTTCGTGGTCACTCAAGAGAAGGCCAAATTGGCCTCTATAAAGCTTGGCGTGCTCAGCAGAGCGGAAAAGTATTTCATGCCGACACACCGCCTGCAACTTTACAAGGCGCAGGTTCGGCCTCACATGGAATTATGTTCCTATCTCTAGGCTGAGGCTACCCAGTGCCAGTTCCTTCCATTTGATCGCATCCAGCGCAGAGCTGTTCGAATCGTCGGCGACCGAACTCTTTCCGATCGGCTTGACTCATTGGCACTGCGAAGAGATGTTGCATATCTCTGCGTATTTTATCGCATTTACCACGGGGACTGCTCTGAGGAATTGTTCGGACTAATTCCAGCCACACAATTTCACCATCGCGCATCGCGACAAAACTCGCAATACCATTCATACCGTCTGGATGACTGGCGGTCCACCACTGAGCGATTTAAAAGAAGTTTTATTCCTCGCACAACTTCCTTGTGGAACTGACTATCACCAGAGATTTTTCCGGACCGATACGACTTAACGCCTTCAAGAAAAGAACGTACTCCTTTTTAAAATGCCGGCAACGCATCTGCAATTCCCCTGGTGTTGCAGTTGTTCATGGGCGGCGGTAATCACTTACCATCAGGTGAGCTGTATGCTCGTTTGCCCCTTCTCCTATAAAAAAGGTACTCTACTCAGTTCTGAAAGTCTTTAAGAAATCAAAATGCATCGTAATTTATCATATTTATATAAACAAGCAGACTGATTCTTCTTAAATTCTGTCAAGTATGATTCCAAAGTTTATAACATTAAGGTTGACTAAAAGAAAAAAGTAGGGTTATACATCCCAGGTTTTTTGAAAAATAAATTTAAATTAAATAACCGTTACCTTTAAGACTTAACAAGATGTCACATTTGCATTTGCTATTCACACAAGCCCCACCAGGGAAACCAATGCGGCGACATGACTGGTCACAGTCCAAAGGACTGCAGCTACTGTACTCCTGTGTTAGGCTTTCTTGATTAAAATCTAAAACAAATTTTACTATTCCAGATAAGTGAATAATAATAAATAATGATAATATAATAATGTATATTGATCATTTTCATTAACAATTATATATTTATACAGGCCATCCAGATGAGAAAACTATATAGATACCCCATTTCATAATACATTTGGGTGAAATGTAATGTTTTAAATTAATATTGTGCTAACGTCTTAACTACAGCTATATTACGGTTGCAGCAGAAATGTTTAGGCTCAACCGGCGAAGAACCACCCCGGTTGAGCACTCATATAATACCAGCGTAAAATAGCAGCATAATGCTGCTGTGTTTCGTATGGTAAGTGAAGAGAACCAAATACCCTTTTTACTGGTATCGAGAAATTCTCAGTCCTCATTCACCTCATGAGACAATGTATTCGCCCGGTAGCACATAGTGTGTGTAGTGAAAGGCTATTTTCTGAAGCATGTATACTCAATTTATGATGAAAAGCGCAATCTGTTGCTTTCAACAAACGCTGAAAAAATTGTTTTCATTCATCACAACTTACCTCTGATAAATTTAAAGTATTAATTATAATGTTTTGTTGGTAATATATATATATATATAGGTGTGACATTTTTTCATGATTTGGTGTTCGGTATCCGGCCCAATACCGAATATTAAACAAAGTGGCCGAATAGGCCGAATACCGAATAGAAACCGAATATTCGTGGCATCTCTATTTTTACACCGCCACTAGAAGATGAAAGCTTTAACTATTTAAAAAACTCTAATAAATGCGTAAATTACTGATGAATTCCTACAAGAAAAGAATGTTAAATAAAGCAAGTATATTAGTTATATTTTAGCACATGAAGAGCTAGATATATAAACATAAATTTCGATTACCTTTTAAGTGTATTCTGTATATGCATTGACAAATGTCACCACTACACCTGCCTCCAACAAAACCAAGTATTTGACACGAGTGCTCGCACGACTGTGTGATACAACTGCCGATTCTGAGATTGTTGCTAAGAAGATTCAAGTCTACAAAAAAGATACATTAAAATTGCAACATAACCTATTCATATTTACTATATCTTTGGTCATTTATGGTTAGTTCTTCAGAAGAACGGTCTTAACGGTCTGGAGACCGTTAAGATCTAATCAATAATAACGGTTAAGACACAATGCTTGGTGTAAAGTTTTATAATCACCACCCTTGGCAACCGAAATATCCGTTGTCTGAGGGTAAAATAACTTAGGCATAACAAAGTAAATAATGTCCTTATTTTCTTTAAAATTCAAAATGCGTGGTAAGGCATTATTTTACTACGCACGCAAACATTCGTAAGGGTCGATCGGTAATCACATTCAATTTGGGATAATTTCAAATAAAATTAGAAGCCTTATTTACTCGTATTTTCAAAAACTGCAATAACGGTATATCATTATTTATTATACTTATTATAGTACCTATATATACTATATATACAGCACGTCAAGCACCTAAAGCCGTTGGTCTTGCACCTGATCTCTCTCCGGTCGTGTCGGTTTACCGTCCCATCAGGCTATGAGAGTGAGGGAATAGAGAGTGCACCTGTGATTGCGCATACACTTGGGCACTATAATCCTGTCCTGCGCCGATGGCTGGTCTCCGTTGAGACTGGCCGCCGTGGCTGAAATACGGTCTGGAGTACATTATTATTATATATACAGTATAGTATACTATAGATTTTGTATATTTTGTTTGTATGTGCGTTCGTACCACTATCATTAACTACTGAAGGGATTTTCATTGGGTTTTGAACAATGGACAGACTGATTTATGTAGAAGGCTTATGTGTATTATTTATCAATATTTTTTGCAAATTAGCTAATGTCATTATGATATTCGTATAAGTCCAAAAAATTGTGCCTACTGAGAGCTTCGATGGCGTAAGCTTCGTATATCGATAAAGTTATTTGCAAATTAAAGTATGGCGATATTGTCTTCTCACAGATCTCTAGAGAAAATTCCGCGAAGCAATAAAAAAAAATTATCAAATACACGTAGTAAAATTCCAATTATTGTAAGTCCTGTGTGTGTAATAAAGTTCAAATTTTAATTAGTTAAAGAGTAAACAATGCACAAAATGATGATTAAATTTATGTATTTTATGCATTTTATATATATATATATATTAAATCTGTATTTATTCTGAACCATTTGGACACACTCTGGGAAGATAATACACTCAAACATTAAACTATGTTCCCGGTGACAGTAGAGCTTTCTATCAGCGGGGCCAAGTTCTACAGACCATCTAGTTGGAGATAAATAGTGTTCCCATGCGGAGCTGGTGCGGGTCGTTAGTGTTATATGAAATGAATTATTGCAAGTTTATATTATATATACCTAGTAACAAAAGATTGTAGTAATAAACTTGCATTCTAAAACAAAATTAAATTGTGAATAATATAAAAACCTAAGTAAAATTTAAATGAAATAACCGTTACCTGTGAGACTTAACATGATATCACATTTGCATTTGCCATTCACACATGCCCCACCAGGGAAACCAATGCGACGACATGACTGGTCACAGTCCAAAGGACTGCAGCTACTGTACTCCTCTGTTAAGCTTTCTTGATTAAAATCTAAAACAAATTTATTATTACAGATAAGTGAAGATAATACATTTGGGTGCTAGTAATGTTTTAGTAATATTGCGCTAACGTATTAACTAAAACGGTTGCAGCAGAAATGGGTCGGCACAACAGGAGAAGTACCCTCTCACAGAATGCTGCTGTGTTTCGTATGCTGAGTGAAGAGAACCAGAAACCGTTTTTACTGGTATCGAGAAATTCTATCTCAGTTCTCAGTTACCTCTTAAGACACTCATGTGACGTTATGAGAATGTGAATATTCCTACACCGCCTCTACAAGTTGAAAGCCATGATACTATCCTCTTCAGTCCCTAGGTATCATATTTGATACCTACGGTTATAATTTTTTTCTGCGCTCTATATCATGCGATCGTGTAACAACCGAAGCTATCACATATGATATGATTTAGCAGTTCTAAGAAAAATCAATTGGCAACACTGAGACGTAAACTTTTTAACAGCAGCTTGTCAAAGTCATTGGTCGTGAACCGTTACAATGTCGGGACATCGTGATGGTAAGTTTTATTTTGTTTTAGTGGAAATCGGCAGTATTTTGATTGTATTTACATAATTACTAAGCTATCTACCTTATGACGTCAGAAATAAGTTTGTGGCTAAGAAATACTTGTCTGTGGGGTCATTTTAGTTGTGTATCCAATATGATACCTTTGGATTCAACGACGTCGTTTTGATACAAATAATGTTTTATTATTCTTTTATTTGTTTTGGATTCCAGCGTTATCAGAAAGAGAAATTGAGAACTATTTGGTCAATTTTGATTCTGAAAACTCTGATTTGGACATCGAAAACGACAACGACGATGAAGAACTCATAGCAGGCCCCTCCAGGACTCCTTGACTGTCAGATGAGGAGCAGTCATCTGATGATGATGATGATGAAGAGAGTAACATTCCATTCTCCCAATTGCGTGAAAGATATCCAAAATGGCGCCACAAGGATGATTTCGACCCACCTCTTATTCAATAAATCTACGCAGACCTTGAAGACGTATTACCCACTGTTGGAAACACGTTTTAATATTTTAGTCAATATTTTGATGACTCCTTCTTTGAAGAGCTCGCGTTGAGTTCTAACACTACTTACATGTCTCGCAATGGAAAAGATCTGCAGACTTCTACCAAAGAAGTGAAGAAATTTTTTGGAGCCAGTATTATTCTGTCCTTGTTAGGTTTTCCACGACTTAGAATGGCTTGGGAGTCCCGTACAAGATATCCACTTGTGGCCGATAACATTGCAAGAGACAGATTTTACCATCTTCGGAACAATCTTAGAATGGTAGATGAAAATACTGTTACAACAGAGGTAAAGGAAAAAGATCGTTTCTGGAAAGTTAGGACTCTCTGTGATAAAATTCGCAGCAAATGTTTGCAGTATGAAAGACCGGCCAGTGTCAGTATCGATGAGCAAAATATTCCCTTTGAAGGTCATGTTGCTATGAGACAATACGTCAAAGGCAAGCCTAATACTGTAGGCATAAAAAATTTCGTTATGACGTCAATAAACGGCTTGCCTTTAGACTTTTTACTATACGAAGGATAATGTAGAAACATAAAGTCAAACAAAGTCCCTATGCCTGAAAAGCTGGATGTTGGCGGTAAAGTTGTGTTGAATTTAGCTGATACCCTACCAGAGAAAACGCATATCTATATGGATCGCTATTTCACCTCAACAGCTTTGTTTGATGCACTGTTGAAACATCGTAGCATTTTAGCGTCCGGAACCATTATGGCTAGTCGTATTTCTAAAAATGTAAGACTGAAAAAAGATTTAGAGCTCAGAAAACAGAGAGGTTCTTATAACCAAACGGTAAGAAATGATGGAGTGATATCCCTTGTCAAGTGGTTTGATAATAAACCTATTCACTTTTTATCTACTGCTCATGGGGTACAACCCATCGAAAACTGTCGTCGTTGGTCAAAAAAAGACAAGAGATATATTGAAATACCTAGACCTCACGCCATAAAACAATACAATCAATGTGTGGGTGGGGTAGACCTACTGGATCGAGTTATTTCCAAGTATGCCATGAGGGGAAGAACCTTAGTCCTTAACCCATTTCTTTGACTTTGTTGCAGCTTCTTGTTGGATTCAATACAGGCAACAAGCTCAACTGATCCGGTGGCCTAAAAAGCAAATTTTATCATATTATTTCTTTAGATTAGATATAGCAGAGCACCTGATTTACAGCAATACCGATGATGACCAGACTTAATCAGATTCTGGTGATGAACCGCAAGCTAAACAGCGTAGAACGGTTCCTCTACCACCCAAGGTTGCAAGGAAGACCAAACATTTGCCCGAAATGTGTCATGATGAACAGGCAAGTAGGTCTAAATGTCGTGCTGAAGGATGCAAGAGCCTAACATTTGTTCGTTGTGACACCTGTAAGGTGTTTTTGTGTTTCACCAGGGAGAGAAATGTTTCAAGAGATTTCATTCGATTTTATTGTAATGACAGTCTGAAATAAAAGCTTAAGAATTTTAATTGGTTTGACATGCTTGAGTGAGGTATCAATAGTGATACCTACCTTAATTCCTAAAATTATACTTAAAGATTTTTTTTATTTATTTATTGTCTTTATTTTATCTATAAGAACGTAAATTAATCAAAACTTTCAAGATATATCATATTTTTAAAGGTCGGGACTGAGGAGGTTATTTGAAAGAAGAATGTGAAATAAAGCAAGTATTTTTGTAACTAGCTTTTGCCCGCGACTTCGTCCGCGTAGATATTATACTTTAAACCATAGGTGATCCATCAATAATCGCACTTTCATAGTAAATTCCATCACGCTCTTCAGGGATGGTTCCCGTGATCAAAGCTATCCTATTTCCTTCCCCGGGACTTAAACTATCTATCTATAATCTAATCTAGGCTATAATCGCCACTGCTTGGTAAACGGAATGGCGATCGCAGTACTAGATGCCTCGCACGATTGCACGGTGTAAACGAGATGATTATGCTGGAAGCCATGAGATTTTTCTGGTAATTTCCACAGTTGCTTCCTACAACATTCACAGAATGAAATGGGGCGATAGAATACCTCAGGCCACCACAGCACAGTTGTATAATATATTACGCTACCTAGATTATAGTAAATATCATGTTATTATAAATTAAACTCCATGTAACATCCTTAGTCAAAACTACTTTTGTCCGATTATTCGCAGTTAAAAGTGGTTTTGACCGGTTATGAGTTTTGACTGTAACATATATACCTAGAATAAAAGATTGTAGTAATAAACTTGTAACTTTACAATTCTGAAACAAAATTATCTTGTGAAAAATATAAAAACACGAGTAAAATTTCAATTAAATAACCGTTACCTTTGAGACTTAACATGATATCACATTTGCATTTGCCATTCACACAAGCCCCACCAGGGAAACCAATGCGGCGACATGACTGGTCACAGTCCAAAGGACTGCAGCTACTGTACTCCTGTGTTAAGCTTTCTTGATTAATATCTAAAATACATTTATATTATTATTTATTATAAATAAGGGAACATAATACATTTGAGTTTTTTTTATAGGATAGGGTGACAAACGAGCACACAGTCCACCCGATGGTAAGTGGTTGCTGTAACCCATAGACATCTACATTTATCCTTCATAAAGAATCAAAATGCACATGCGTTGTCACCGGTGAGGACTAAGATGGAATGTAAAATGGGTCTCTGGTTCTCTACGCTCACCAAACTAGTAGAGTGCTAGTAATGGTTTAAATTTATATTGCGCTAACGTCTTAACTACAAATATATTACGGTTGTAGCAGAATATAGGTCGGTTCAACCGGGGAACAGCATAATATCTGCTGTGTCCGTATGGTAAGTGAAGAGAACCAGATAACCTTTTTACTGGTATCGAGAAATTCTATTTCAGTCCTCAGATACCTTTAAAGACACCCATGGGCAGTGGCGGCATAGCGTGGGTTGGCACCCAGGGCGGTTATCTATCAAACACTCCCGAAATAAAACAAGAAATTTTAAACACGCTTACCGGACTTTATTTCGCTAAATTATTCTATTCATTATCGTTATCATTCAGCCCCTTCTCAAGTCTCAAGTTCTCAAATGCTGAACAAAGGCCTCCCCCAAAGAATGCCACAAAGCACGGTCCTGAGCCACCTGCATCCATAGACTTTCTTGTCGATAGTTTTTGTGTTCTTCGGCGACGGGTCTTGCAAAACTTAGCTCCGACCGCATGGACAGTTTCCACAAGCTTGTCATTCTTACCGTCCACTGTATTGTGGTATTCTAGGCACTGAAAACGATTTTGTAACACAAGCTGAAAGTTTTAAGGGATTTGGATTAGATCACGAGGACGGAGCTTTGACTTCATTAGAAGTGACCTCTCTAGCTCACTGTTTAGGTTCAGTGTGCCTCTCACCATTCGGTGATCGCTGCCAGTTTTCACCCCCGTCAATCTCATGTTTTGTCGAACCGTCGGGGGTTGATCAGGTCCACTTTTTGTGTGGCCGCTTTTGAAAGAAAGATTTCATCATAAAGAGTCCCTCTTTCTCCATAAAGTCGGTCAAATGCTAGCCTCTTGGGTTCCGTTTCCCTATCTCGAAACTCCGTACTTTAAGCCCAGCGTTCTCTCTTGTGCCTAGTTTTGCGTTGAAGTCTCCCATTAACATCGTATATTGGGTTTTGGAGGAATGCATGGCTGTAGAGATATCCTCATACTTTCCTCCACCTCCTCATCGGGATATGTCGAGGTTGGTGCGTAAACCTGTATGACCTTCAGCAAATACCATTTGGTGATTCTGAGTATAAGGTACGCAACCCTCGTTGACAAACTCCCAATTTTTACAACATTCTTCAATTATCCTTGGGATAGATCGTCACCCTACATATAATAGAACAAGTTGCCGGATTCGAGGATTACCGTGTCCTCCTTCTTTTTTCGGACCACAGATAAATCTATAATGTCTCACCGCAACTTGTCTATGACTTCTTCCAGCTCCATGATCTTCTCGTCAGTAATCAGGTTAAGTGCGATATATGTTGCCAAGTCGAGTCGTCTTTGGTGGCAACAGAATATCCACCGGAGATTCTTAGCACCCCTGCCCCGCCGTTACCATAGTCGTCACCGTAGCCAGGAGTACCGGGGCCGCCGGGGACTAGAGCCGTCTTTTTGTAACTCTCGCCATGGGCGGGCATACAACCGCAGTTTTTTTAGTGCTATTTACCTGTTAGTAGAACGACGCTGCTGGACATTTTATACTTTATTTCCCTCTGTCGCCTCTTACGACACCCACGTGAAGTAGGTGGGGTAATGGATATTCTTACCCGTCACTACACGGGGGTAAAATTTAAGGTAAAATATTCTATTACATTATTAAAATTTATTTTCTTGTTCTTTGCGACAGATAAAATGGAAAGGTTGATTAGTCGTGCTTGGCTCATTGTGGACCTTAAGTAACATTTTATTAACTTGAGTTTTGAAAAGATTCTTTCACATGAAGCTACCGAAACAAAAATTAAAAAAAATCTAGGTCCCATTTTACGATGAATCTGAGAAGCTCCAATGAAGTGCAACGGTTCTACAGGAATATGCGACGGTTATAAACAAATCACTGATTGACCGTTTGTTGTTACTCGCGCTACCTCGATCGCGTTACTCACTCAACCAAGCGCTACCTAACTTATAATTATTTATTTAGGACATTAAATTATGTTCGAAAGTAAAAAAAATCGTGAGTGTCGTGGAGCACTCGGTTGATAAACGTAGGTATTATATTATTGATTAATAAATACAAATAAATGAATCACTAGCGTCTATTAATATGAAGCGTCATTTGAAATAAAATAATATTTCTTTCATGGCAAGATAAGAAAAAGTGTGAGGGAGATGGATATTATTCCATCTCACTTCCTTATTTCGCCGCCAAGGCCGTCTAAACTATGACACAAGGGGTAGTGACGAAAAAATTTTACAGTTTTTGTCGCCTAGCTCCCATCCGCCAAACCAGTACCGTCCGATAAAGAACTTTGTTCCAATAAATTTGCGATACATATAAAAATATAATATTTGTGTACAAGTAGATACTATAGTAGTAGCGGAGTAAGTTTTTTGTAATTATTGTCTGGTTGTGCGAGTGAGTTGTCGTGTCATACGCCGCCACTGCCCATGGGACGCCACTCCAAGTTGAAGCCATGATACTATTTTAAATAAATCTAATTAATGCATTCAATTACTAATCAATTCTTAAAAAAAGTGATATAAAGCAAGTATATTTATTATATTTTATCACATGATGAGCTAGATATATAACCCTTAACTGGTATCGGGGTTCACAAATCACCCCAAGCGAACACATTTCTCATCATATCTTTCCACTCTACTCTTTCCTCGCGTCGCGAGGTGCGGCGGATGTCGGACGTTTGTCGCTCTACTATTGCTGATAGCAGAGGTACGTACACTGCTGGGGTCAAAAATCACCCCCGACACCAAAGGTGTTCATTTCATTGTAAAGGCATTTTGTAATGCCTCCTCTACACTATTCGCGAAGTAGATCGAAGTTGAACGAGGCGAATAATGTAGAGAGGTACTTCGATTCACTTTGTCCAACCTCACTTCGACTCGGGCGACTTCCGATCGCTGTCGGTTTTTTGCGCCAGAGTCAAAGGACTTCGCGATGTACCCCGAAGTTACACGAAGCGTCTCACTACACTACTCGGCTTACGCCAGTTATGAATATTTTTTTTATATATAAATAATAAATATGTAGCTTTCTACATAATTATTTATTTAGTTAACGCATTGACGTCGTACTGGTCACACAATTAGATACCAATAGCAGCTGCCTCTTGATCGTCATTCATGTTAAGGGTGCAGGAGACTCAAGACAAATGAGCTCTTTGCGAAGTAGCACGAGTGTGTGGTCACGTTCTTCGGACTGCGATCGACTTCGACAAGCACTTCGTCGAAGTTACTTCGCGAGTAGTGTAGAGGAAGCATAACGTTTTATCTTTTTTTTGGCAATAATCGTCACGATGGCTGGTGTTTTAAATTCAAATCAAATTGCGCAACTTTTGGAAGACGAAGATAAACAATCTGATATTTGAATTTTGAATTCACAGAAATATTACAGGTGCTAACTGGTTTCCATCGGTTGAGCTGGTTGACAAATTGA